TATAAACTTGCTGGTGATCTTTAAAGTTAATTTATGTTTAGAACTTGGTTTTATAAAAAAAAAGATATGTCGTCAGATCACAATTACAGATGAGCTTCCTGAGCTCTGTTTTTCACATCTTTTCACAAGGTCAGAGGTCATTATTTATAGCATTGTGATGTATCAGACAGTGCTGTTGTGTAATTGCTGATGTTGCGATTTGATGGCTGGTATATGCTCGTCAGTTAGATCTCTTAAATTTTCAAGATAGAAAGATAATTGCATTGCCGCCTCAATCCAAACATCTCTTCGGTTGCACTTACACTGTCAGTAAATGTTTTCTCCACTGTAGAAAATATGCAAGTTATTTCACATTTTGTCTTTTCTTTATAAATTAACCAAATCTTCCATTTTCTTATTTTTCAATTTAAGGTGTAAGGCAATTCAGCCAAGTATAGCCATCACCTCGGCAGATATGCTTGATCAGAACGGTAGCAGCGATACAGGGAGTGAAGAGAGTGATCACACCCCCCAGCCATCAAGCCCCAGTCAAAATGGCAACGTGGTGGCAGCTGACTGCAATAATCTTGTTGTACCCGAAGACTCGTCACTTCCACGGAGATCCAGTCTAATTAAAGATCGTAAGCGAACATCACGTAAAAAAACAGTTTCCTTTACAACTATGCCACAAGAAAAAAAAATCGCAAACGGTAAGTAAAATCAAATTCTAATGCTTTACTGGAATCACCACAATGCATGAACGGTATGAGTTGAAAACTTGGGTAAGAATTAATTACCCACAATGCATGAACGGTATGAGTTGAAAACTTGGGTAAGAATTAATTACCCACAATGCATGAACGGTATGAGTTGAAAACTTGGGTAAGAATTAATTACCCACAATGCATGAACGGTATGAGTTGAAAACTTGGGTAAGAATTAATTACCCACAATGTATGCGCAGTGCAGAATTACACTTCTACCTGCTATTGTCAATCCAATTGACATGTGACATGTTCGATTCCAAGAATCCCACCAAGTATGGAGGCGTTTTCAATTACCGAGTCTTATTCATTGGCAATCGTCTGGACTTGGTCCACTGACTCTGATCAATCAAGGATTCCAGGATGTATTAACGCATGAGTTTATATTACAATGATACAGTCAATGGTGCATGACAGATCCTCACAGTCTTGTGAAACAAGTTTATTTGATGAGATATTGTAGGCTGTATTAGATCAGTGCTTTTCTTGTTTTCATTTAATTACACGAGTCATCAAATAAACTGTCATAATGTAAACCACAGCATGTGAATTTTCATCCAAGTAAATACCTGATTTGATGTGCCCACAGCAATTTTTCATGAACTTGCCTTTTTTCGTTGATTGCTCTTCTTATCTTTCTGTATGTTCTGTTTATAGTTTGCGATGAAAAACAAAAAATAAGCCCTTTCTGATGATTAAAGATTATTTCATATGGCAAGCAATCTTTGCTTTCTGTATATGCTCCTGATTAAAATGAGATGCCAATGCTGGCATGTTGATTTCACATCGCCATGTCCATTCCACAAATACCAATTACCATACTAGAAAGCATGGTTCAATAAATACAAGTTACTCCTATATTGGTGCTGTCTACAGTTGATGCTTACCTTTCAATATATCTAGAAGTAAATAAGTAAAGTATACTTTAGTGTACAAAACATACCCACACTGAAACCCAAACCCAAGCCCACACCCATGCCCACAACATTGGATAACTGCATTATAAGCCAAATCTTATTTTGAAATATGTACGGGTGATTTTACATCTCTCAGTCAATTATAAAAATGTGTAATTACCTTTCCAACTCAAATAAAAAAAAATACAAAACGATTGAAGTTTCATTCCAAGTCAAAAATGTTAAAGAGCGCCCCCAAGAGTTGGGATTATCATTTGTAAGTTCTAGATATAATGTTGCTTTCAATCATGCTGTAATCCAGTCAATGCATGTTAATAACAAAATTATATCAAAAGAAATGCTGCAAAGTTCATTATAATCTTCAATAATGTCTTGACAATTCAATTTGGAATGTAATCACTACCATTACGGTAGACACATTTGATCAACCGATATGAATTCATCTGAAACGACTTAGAGTTATTACATGTTACTTAATAGGCAGGAAATAATACACCATCAAATATTAAACCTTGTTTTCAGCTTATTGACTATATAGCCGTCGTCATGCTACTGTTCGTGGAAAAGGTCATTTTACTTTGATAAGATCTTCCTGACAACACGCTGGGACATTCACAGCTTTGGTTTTAATGATCACAAATAATATAAGTCATGTTTATTATCGAACTTTATTGCCGTTTTTTTTATCCTCTGTTATGTGTTAGTCACTGTCCATATATGCCTTGCTTGTGAAAACTATTGATTTCTTTGATAGTTTTTCAAGATTATCGGTACTGAGATGACCAGATGACCATTTAATCTATCCAAAATCCTACGCTTCATGATAGGCTTTTTTTACCAGGTGTACAATTGCTTCAACCAATCAGAATTGATTGAGGGTAACTTAATGACAGTAACAGAACCTCATTTGCAGACAAGAAGTCTTAGTATTACATGTACATGTAATTTATGCCTGATATTGGTAGTTAATAGAAATACAGTGTAGTATGTTAACTCAGGTATATTCAAAACATCAAAGAACCATAGAGCTTTCATGATTGACTTATTATTTATTCTGCCATTTGAGGTACACCAAACCCACCACATTTGGTGTTTTGTTCCTTAAAATCGTCATATGTCATGCAGGTTACAAAGGGAACCTGTGTGTCAAGTTTGAAGTTCCTAACTATTATGATATATTTAGGTAACCTATAAACTCTGTTACAAAATTTGTTCGTGGTATTCATAATATATTCCACGTTTGACAGATGTATCTAATTATGCGTTGACAAATATTTAGCATTAAAAACTGTTTTACATCACATGAAATTGTCGTGAATTTTGGAAGTTCAGGAATATCACATAATTTTTGTAGGACATTTCTCTAATGTCCTTCACTTTTAAGACAATATCTTCCATGAATTATTCAAATTGTGCAAGTTACTTGCAGGAAATCTTTTTTTCAAGAATTAAAATAAATTTTAAAACTTGCTTACTGGCACTGGTATGGCTGAAATGTTATAATTCATTCAGGAAGCTATCCTGTGGTTTTGATGTCACTTGAAATGCAATTGAAATTAGAATACTAATATTACCTTTATGATATTCTGCCAAAAAATGACATTTTGCCCAGAATACTCAGTGAGTGATATGATGTTATTAGTTAAAAATGTCAGATGTGCAATTTAATAAAAAAACCTGCTATATTGCCTGTGTTAATATTCCATAGTTGAATAGCTTAGATAAACTGAAAATACTCAGTATTCAGTTTTATTTCACTTCGCCCATTGTAAGCTTTAATATCATCACAGATGATGAATCCACTTGTATATATACCACAAGTTTCTGTTACTAATGTCAGTTGTACTATAAACTAGAAGACACTCCAAATCTTTGCCCTAGGTGCCCATTACATATGTTTATCATACTTGCCAACAAATTTTAGTTTTTTTTTTAATAGAAAATTGAAATTATCGCTTGAAGGGGAAAAATCAAACAAGAAATCTATCTCTTCTAAAATATAATCGCTTGATATTTGAAGGAAAATTTGTTGATAATTTTTTGAGTTATCCAGCAATGGATAGTAATTGAAAACATTTCAATTTCTATGGCAATTACCTAGATCCAGATCAGAAACAAACCACAACAAATTGTTACTTTG